CGGAGAGACCTGGCCAGTCTACCACCAGAGTCAAAATCAAAAGAGCAATTAGTTCATCTAAGTTTGTGCCGGAACGGATCTATGCAACCAAAATACGAGGATTTACATGCAAGGTAGGGGCCTTCGCTGGGCCCAGACGGGTCGAACTCTGACGATGGCATGAAAATGGCTGATGGGTGTCCTCAAAAACAGCAATTTTATGACGCTTATGTAGCAGAGGCTCGTAGACGTGGATTAAATAATGACTCGAGACAACCTGAACGCCTGCTTTAACGGTCTCTAAAAACCATTCCGAAAGATCGAAAGTATTACTACTGTTCTGTGCAAAAACCATCGAGTGGCAGGCAAAACCTAAATACCGTGGGAAAACGTTGTCAACGCCCAAACATCCCCAGTATATCTTCCCCAATCACACATATTCAGAAAAAGAGCTACGGTTTTGGGATACTCGCAACCCGAAAACGCATGGATATTTCGCCAAGGAACATCGCAGAAGACAATGAGCGCCGCCACAAGGTGGCAGCGGGGAATCACAGCAGACGCATCCTCATCGCGTTCCCACCCGCCTCACGGCGAACAAGGTCTGCTACACTAATCTCCCTACGTCGGATCAATCTCCCAGTGATGCGATTAAACAAGAAGATAGCTAAAAACGGAGGACACTCGTTATTCAGGGCTAAATTATTTTAACATGTGCACGGATGCGGATGAGTGCTCCTGTTACCTCGATGCTTCTAATTCGACCTATGCGGAAATTGTTAGTTTAAAGGGCAAACTTTGGAATATAAACAACTGGCATGAAAATGAAAGTACTCACAAAGTTCTTGTAGATAGACAGCAAAATAAGTATCACCAATGCGAGGAGAGCGAAGAGGATGAGGTGTGCTTCCGGGATGCGAAGAAACGGAATAGAAGCTGGAAGGGAAGAAACAGTGGAAGTTCGTGAGGTAAATGCGAAAACAAGTGTCAGGAGGACACATGTGTACAGAGGTAAACACACGGATTGCTTACAATGATAGGCCTTGGGCAGTGAAGTCGCGCAAGTTGTATCTGATCTGAATGAAGATATAATACCCCGACCACACAGTCGTAAACTATCAATTAATATGATTAGACTACAAGTACTGTTGTCGCAGCGTCTTCAGAAAACTGTAACGTCGGAGGCCTCAAATCACTGGTGTTGGTAGAGTCTGGTTCAATTTCAGGGTGTCAATCAACTGACCGCTCCAAATCCGAAGAGACAGAGTATTTCAATAGAACCATGACTAGAACGGCCGTTTCTGCCTCATTAGCCGTCATCAGCCAATCATAATTAACCCCAATTGATGCCCCATCCACGGCTTGAACCCGCGATCTTTTGATCAGAAATCTAACGCTTTAACCACCAAGTCATTCTAGTTTCTTTTACCTTTGCCGGCAATTCTATCTGCCTAGACTACTAGCCCCTCTGGGGCTGCTTGCGGGGCTCAAGTGTGAGCCCACGGCAGAGCGGAACAAGTGAGTTCCGTTAGCGATGAGTGAACGTCTATCAACAACTGTCAATATCTCCCGATCTAAACGAGCAAGACAACGAGTTCGTGGCTCAATGGTTAGAGCGTTAGCCTTTTGATCGAAAGATCGCGGGTTCGAACCTCGGGTGGGGCATCACTTGGTGTTGCGTATGACTGGCTGATGACAGCTAATGACCCAGAAATGGCCATTCCAGCCTCTTTTGTCTTTGCCGGTAATGCCATCTGACTTGAGTTAATATTTCTGACGGAAACCTTCCTCATTACTGTCCCTCTACCTATCATTCTAGCCATTGTGGGGCTGCTGGTGGAGATCGAGAGTGAGCCCAAAAACAGTAAAGGACGAATGACTCCCTTAACTTATCGGTGAGCGTCTATCCAACAGAGAGTAAGTCTATTGGCGGAAAATAAAAAAAAACTA